TAGTGTGTTGTGTGAACACTCGCGCTGTGTTTTGTTTACTTGTGGTTAATATTGGTGACAAGACGAGCGATGTGGTTGAAATACGTATATCTCATACGTATGTACCTACAAATAATATCTCTGTATATGTTAAAACACGCCATTAGAGGTGGATAACATTTGAAATCAATGCTCGTATTGATGTCCGTTGCTCTACTGGACTATTCTAGTAGTACGCCGCACATCATGACAGCGGCCGGACGATCACGTATTCAGCTGATTGTGGCGACCCCAGCTAACCAACAAATATACTCCTACACGTTTTGTATGAAGTAGTGAGCAGACATGTCTGAACAGATGACAACATGCACCTGCAGACAACAAGCGGTGAGATGCGCGGCTCGCCAGGAGGCAGTGGCTGCAGTGTGCGCCGCGCTGAACTAAATCTTAACAAACACTCGCGACATCTCCTCGTACTGTCCGCCTAACTACTTGCCGTCAAACTTGCTCCAGAGCGCCGGCCGCCCCCCTCCCCCCACTCGCTCTTGCCAGAGTTGCTCACAACTTTATGAATTCCTAATCTTAATGTGTTGTTTATGTAAAATCCTCGTCGCATTGAAGCTCGCCAGATATTGCTGAACTCTGCAACTTGCTATATTGCTTAGTACAATCAGTTGGAGCTAGAAGTGGGTACACTATTACACTCGTTCAGTGTGTGTCGCGCGGCGTCGCGTCGCGCGTCGTGACGCAGTTGTCGAAGTTTGTCGTGTCGCTTCATTACGTCTGCGGAGTGACGGTGACGGTCCACGCAATTAAGATTATCTAAATTACGTTTAACTTCAACGGCTTGATATAACAAAGTTTACATTGAGTTTTATAATAATTGTCCCGGCCTCACGGAGTCGAATAATCGTTACTTTTATTATAATACGTACTTTGAGAATAAACCTAAATATACAGATCCGTACGTGTGTTAACGAACAAAGGTCGATGCCTTTCATCGATATATAGATGTTCGAGTGTAGTGTGCGGATGTCGTAGTGGTATAAACCTTGTTGTGATTCTGATGGCACTCCGCTGTTTTGTTCTCGCATGTATTGCGACTGCTTCACTGTATTTAATGATTTCCGTTTTGCAATAATCTCGTAGTAACTAATCTAAAACTAAATAATAAATAAACTAACTAAACAGCCTGTAAAACAACATTTGCACAAAGTTTCTCCTTTTTCCTGGCTTCAATATTGTATAGTACAATCTGTGGACATTTTTTACACTTTTGGTATCCAACTTAGTGTCTTGTGATTTACTGATATACGTTACTGTTGTTTGCAAAGTGTATTATATAATTGCATTTGTGTTTATTTAGATTCACCTATCTACTACAGAAATGCCATTGCTTATGTCAACTTGTATGTATGCATTATAAACTATGTATTTATTGGTCTACCTTGCAATTGTGTTTGTGATTTCTATGAATTCATTACCACATTTTGTTAGTTAAATAATTGGTATAAGTACTTGTCCTTTGTTTTTGCTAAAAAAATATTCATATTCTTAAATAAAAACTAAAGTAGTTATAAATAAAATAGAAAAATAGGATTAATAATAATTATTAATAGTTGTTTGAAACACTAGAATTATGGCCGGTATATGGCAAAAGGGTTATATATATGGAACTGGTAAAAGGTGACTATTGGTATGAAGAGCGTAACATTAGTTACATTATGTTATGTTTTGTTTGTAAGAAGTCTAGGAATAAAACGAAACAATAAACACTCGTCTAGGCATTTGTAGATATTGAGGTATCAGTGTCTGCCAAAATATCGGCATTGAGACAGTAATTCCCCAATAATTCCGTAGTGTTACCGTGTGCCGGTGTACGTATGCCAAGGTAATAAGGTTACAGGTCGTGTCTATCACGCGATAATTGCCGACTGCGCGCCAAATGTGGCAGTTATGTCAGAGTGTGCACTACGTGGACGCTGTGTGTGATTCACTCATCGATATCACATAGAAAATACTTATTGTGCATCATGTACATGAGACATACACTACTGACTATAATATTTACTTTGAAACCTAAAAACTTTCATTCAGAACCACTAAACTTTTGTCCAAATATCGTAACTGTGACCAACTTTATATTTACGACTCTGTTATGATGGCGAGGTATTTACTGCTGCACTCACATTCCACAAACTTGTAACAAGTATATATCGCTAAAACTTTGCCAGCAATAGTCGGAATAGTTGCAAATGAAGAGAAGCGCCATCTAGCAGTGTTTCCCGGTAACGGACGGGGTCGTACTACCCCTAGTAGACGGAGCGCGTCGTAAGCTGAACATTTTTCAGCACACTCACTTGTTTCTTACAGGCTTCATAGATGGCTCTGCTAGTACTGGTCTTCATAATTGTAACTCTGTCATACCGAAATTAATGTTCGTGTGTAAGAGGCCTTCGCTCAGCATAAGCTGCTGCTGATACTAAATGGCAATACCATACATAATGCGATACCGAAATTTATTAACCGACTTCAAAAAAGTGGAGGTTCTCAGTTTGACCTGTATGTATGTGTAATAATCGATATTGTTATACGTGCAAACATACTAGATAAATACAAAATAGAATAATCGCGATTATCTTACGATTAACAGAACCGATTATGATGCGTTATTTCAGTAAAGTATTTGTTACGCTTAGGATATTAAATAATAGAGTTTAAAAAAAAGGGGGTGGGGTCAAAGTCGGTTATTTTAGATGTATATTATAATAATTAGAGATGTTTCGGATTAGAAAACTAAAAAATGTAAAATCTTTGCCACAATTAAACCCAACTCCCTGATTACCAAAATCATTCTCTATTGACCTCTACCTAATCTCTGGCCTTTCTCACACATTAAGAATAAATCTGTATGAGAATATAACGTGTGCTATGAAACAATAGAACAACGTTTGAAATAACAAAGTCTTTATTCAGAGACATTACGTGTCATATTGGCAGCATGTTGCTGACAAACATTTTAAAATGTGATTACGTTACAATCTCGTACAAACATCGTGTCGTAGCAGCGCGAGCGACAGTCGCTGGTGAAAACTATGAGTCGCTGTCGCGTCGCGTCTTCAGGGAAATTACCCCGGACTCACGTGTGACACGGACGCGACGGACACGTAACGACTTCGTAGGTGTCCTTGTTGTGGGAGTTTCATATCTCATGTGTGAAGGGCTACTTATACTACGTACTACTATGTACTACTCATGTATATCCAGCACCTTTAGCCAAGCAATTACCGTTATCGAATGTTAAACTAAGCAAACGTATGGTGGTTGATTCGTTTAATGTTTTCAATGATATTAAAAATCCCATAATGGGCATTTGGGTTTTATTTTAATAGCGTTATAGCTTAATGATAAATGCAAGGTGCACTGTAGCATGTACTGTAGTAATGTGATCCGTGTGATTACGGTCACAAAGCCAAGCAGTGCAGCACCGCGCGGCGGGCGGCGGGCGGCGGGCGCTGCGACTGCGGTCAGCTTTAGCACTGCTTAGGTTTTAGGCTGTTTTCAGTTACACACGTATCTATTACGAACACGTAAGTACTTATTTCAATATTTTTTAACTAAAAAAATTATATGGGAAAGCTTTAAAATGATTACCTACAAGCTTATTGACTTGGAAAATACAATACTTGGAGGTGTTACTTACTTTCATGTTTGATAACAGTGCGCACCACGCGCTGCATACGTCGGTATAGAACTATGTGTCAACATAAAAATAAAGTTTATTTATTTACATCGGAGTGAGTGCACAAGTATCGCTGGGTTTACTTCATCCACGCAGACAGCCGCGTCTGCGTCTTAGACATATTAATTAAACTCAGTCGCGGCTGATCGCGTCGCGTCGCGTCGTCGGCTCGCGTACTGTGTAATTAAGTCGGAGTGACGGCAACACTCGCATGTACCCACAGAGCTCAGTTAGCTGGTTATGATTTCAGACATTTGTACTCGTGTGATTTTCAATTATTTATTTTTATAATGTTGATTGCATTGTAGTCATATTACCGTAACGAATTATTGAAATGCTGCACATTTGACTGCACGGTTGGTGCGGTGGCTGGGCAACCGGCTGCCGTGCAACGTGTCGCGGGTTCGATTCCCGCACGGGACAACACTTTGTGTGATCCACAAATTGTTGTTTCGGGTCTGGGTGTCATTGTGTATGTGAACTTGTATGTTTGTAAACGCACCCACGACACAGGAGAAAATCCTAGTGTGGGGCAACGTTTTTTTTAAAAAAAAAAAAAAAAAAAAAAAATTATGACAAATATGATGCATTGTTCTTCAACTTGACTAGTAAAGTTACGTGTAATTACGGTCGGCTGTAGTTCAACTGAATAATTGTAGATATATTAATGACATGCACTTCACTGTGAGCATAATGCATTTTCAAGTGAGTTTAAACTGATTTTGATCGGGATGATTTACATAATGTTCACCGTTTAACTTTATATTGGTTGCACATACCTACGTACATGTTCGCCGTGTGGTACGTAGTGCACGTACTGGTAGTGCTGCAGGCCGCGGGCGCGCGTCCGTCACGTGATGTATGTGACGCGTTGCCAGCACTTATCACGAACAGGCCTCATTACGCGCCGCTCATTGCCCGCTCATTATACATTTAACGCGAATTTAACTCTATCAGGAACCGACATCTGGACACGGTGTGCCGGTCAATTACTGAAACGTGTTGCATATCAAAACGGTACATCGTTTCTGAAATATTTTTATTAATATTGCATCGTTGGTCGGCTGCTATTAAAATATTCTACGTTATCTTTCAAAGAGATTTATTAATTCCTACATAATGTGTGAGTTAAGTTACTCAAAATTTAAATTGTGCTTTAAAAGAATAGTTTTAAATGGGATTGGTCAGGTGTTTTGTTCGGTTGTGCTGATATCTAGTTTATCGAGTGTATCAGTATAAAGTATTTTTAATATACTTTATTTATTTGGTATGTGTGTTGCAGTACCTGGGCTCGTTCCCGGTGGCCGGCGGCGAGCCGGCGGCGCGCGGCGACCAGGTCTCCGCGCATCTACAACTCATGAAGGTAAGCCACACTGACGACGCAAAATATATTTTTTAACGTCAGAAAATCTTTACAATTACGCGTTGTAAACATACATAACTTTCTAAAACCTACCATTTACTATTCTATACTGCAGGGATGTAAAGTTGTAACTGGTTGCGAAGCAGTCGGCTAGTAAGCCCGCCTATCTGTCAATCGTACATAATGCCATGATGTGCGAGTGGTGCGTGTGTATGTATAGAACCTACTACCTGGCTGTGCTCGCATTAAGCGCTTCAGTTGTCGAGTGAGGAGTGAGTGACACTAGTGACGTCACAGGGCCGCGGACGCGGTGACCTCGATGTCGCGCCCTCTTACCCTGCTTAGTTTAGTTCCCACTACTGGCGGATGGTGCATGACCCTGCAGTGAACCAAGTTACAACAACTCCATCGAATATAAAATTATACTTTACTAGCTTCTGCCCGCGACTTTGTACGCGCAATCCCGTTCTCTCCCGTTCTCGTAGGATTTTTTCTGTCTTAAAACCCTTTCCTAATAATAAGAAATACAACAAAAAAAAGAATTAGTGACACCAGTCCAGCCATTCACGCGCGATACCGTAACCAAGGGAAAAAGGGATTCATTTTATATTATGGAGACAAACTTCAAACAAATATTAGTTAATCGGTTCTCTAATCTGGAATTTGACACGAACACACAGGATTATTTTTTAATATTCGACTTGCAATCTGTTTTGATTACGATGTTTCACATTACTTATGAGTAAGCAAAAAGCATGGTCATTTAGTTAGTAGTCTTATATAGCTTAGTTAGTAGATACATGAAAATAATACCTGTGTGTCTACTGGACTGTGTCACCTGTACTAGTCGGCAGGTGACGCACTACAGAGCCCCGCGAGCCGTTGATTGTCTGAGTGCAGTGGAACATGCGTCTTTCACATACAAGTACAGCGTCTCACAAACAACACATCGTCTTGTACTGCCGTGACAGTAGTTTTGTTAAAACTTTCAAATTAACAGTTTGTTTAGTTACTTGGTACGAAGTTTGTGACCCCGAGTTTAGTACAGCTGACCCCGTGACCCCGACATGTACCGACTGCACGGCCGCATCGAAACATAAACAAAGCGTTGTTGGCGCTGCCCCACATTCGCGGGCAAACAGTGGCGAGTAGCGAACCTGTACTTCACATGTTTGGGCACTGCTTTCTAACTTTGACAATTCCATGCATGGCGTACTCTTAGTTTGTAGTACAACCTTTTGAATTTTTTAATAATATTTCATGACGTGATATAAAAAACGTGGCAAAGAAAATATATATTCTAGAGATCAACATTATAAAACATTTTACTATCCAAAGTTACCTAAAATACTCAAGTTGAAACGTCTGCTACACCACGGTAAACAAGGATCTCTCTAGTACAATAGTAAACAAATGTTTAAAACAAAGTGGGTTGCAGCTCAGCAGGTGTTTGTAGTTGTTCACTTTCCGTATGTATAGTTTAGTTACCGTAGGCTCGTAGCTTGCTACGTTGCTACGCGCTACGTTGCTACGGTGCTACGTCGCTACGCTCTTTGTTAACGATGATAATTGTATCGTAGCATTTGTAGCTGCGCTTTACTTGTATAAACAATGTCTTTAAGGAACAATAATTAATATTGGTACGTTATCATTAGTGTTTGCCTTTTATTCTAACTTTGATGTTATAAATAAATGATTTATTATTTATTGATTTTTTGATAAAATTTTCGTAAATAAAATAAGTATAATTTTAGTTTACATATGCGCTCTACCACTATAGGGTTTTTTGAACCCCTGCTAACCGTGATAATAAACAGCCGGCCGTTCACCAGCCTTATTATGTACCAGCATTACAACACGATGTCGCTACACCATAAAGAAGAGAATTTTAGCAATACAGCACGAACGTTCGTCCGTGTTCGTTCCATCCGCTGTATTAATTTGAGATAAGAATCAAATTGTTGAATATAAAAGTAAATTAGTGAGGGTACATTATGGTGAAACAATAAGCCGCGATAAACCTCCCTCGACAGCACCTTAGCTAAGTCATTTTGTACTTTAATAATGACGTGTAGCAGTGTGCAATGTTGGGCGTGATATATACAACTCACTGCCGTACTCACAGATACATTAATTAAACTATTCCTCAGTAACGATTATGTTGTGAAAATGATTGCTAAGAACTGGGTCCAGTAATCATTAAATGACTGTGTATACGGCGGTTAGACCACAGTTGTATAATATGTACTTTTAGCAGTTCACTAATATCACAATATCACAATACGCCCTGGACGGGGCTCACGTAGGCAACTCGTATCGTTTTGACACAGGTTTAGCTCCCAGCGCCCGACATTGGAGCGGGAAATTTATTCATTGCCTCACACTGCCACGATACACGTACTGCAGGCGGCCACGAGATTTACTTTTCGTCGTATTATTCAGAACTATCAAGTGTTGTATTGTAGTATATTAAATCATTTTATTTTTCCAACCACCTCATCAAAAGTATAATGTTAATATTGTATCCATGGCGTGCTAACTCCTAACAATGAGGTATTCCGTTTTTAACGCTGTGTGAGCTTTTCCAAGTTACCTGTACAGAAAATGCATAGTAAGACGACAGCCTGGACAAATTGGCGACACTACACTGCAAGCTAAGTAGAGATGAACGACATACAACGGCGACCTGTCGACCTCACCAGATGGCAGCACATACAGTTTTTGATCTATTGAAAATGGATGGAATATCAATGAAGTTATATTACAACAATTGTTAGTATAAAATGTACAAGTTGTTTTTTTTTCACAAGTACAAACAAACATTGCAATTTGTATTTCTGCGTGTCACATGTAAAGAGTCGGAGCCCCTGCGGTGTAAGTACCATCAACCACAAGGGACCGGGTTGAACGATCACAAAGCACTGCAAACAAACAAAAAGCACATTATTGCCGAGTGTAGTCCCCCAAACTGCAGACACGACCCTCGACTCGAACCCCGGACCGAGCGCTTACAATCCTTAGATGAAAGTAATAACGCACTTCAGCGTTCGAATGCGCGTGAAATGTGCACACACTACTATACAACGAGGAGGGAGCAGCTTCAGACCAATTCTAAAGACGTCCTTTGATTTTTGGTTTGTAATCAAATGATATACCTGTATGTCCTTATGTATGTTTGTTTAGTTGTGACGTACTGTATATATAATAGGATAGAATGTTTTGCGTAACATTCAAATGGCAAGGCTGAACTAGAAACATTATCATTAAAGTACTAAGCACTTAATAGAATTGTTCCATGAAAAATGACATTCAGTGTTCTTTTTCTAATTATCAAGTTCGAACAAACCCATAAAACTGGGACATATGCAATAATTGGCAAAATATATGAAAACTATGTTCCAAAATATATCTCTTTGGAAAGAAGGTTTACACGGAGATATTTTGATGCCGAGGGCGGCAGCGGGTGACGTTGGCTACACAGGAGATTACTCCGGCGGCCGTTGTTCGCAGACAAACAGACGGACGAGAAATTAAAGTAAAACGACAGTGGAGCCCATCGGAGGATCCTACGCACGCAACAATGCGTCTCTGCCTACACCCGCGCTGTCTCACTGCGACCGCGGCGTGAGGGAACTCAGTAGTACTACACGAGATCACGTATCATGTCACCACGGTGTACTAGTTGGTTTACAATTTATGCAACCACAGTTATGGTTTTTGAACATAGGATATATGTATACGCAAAAACACATTGTGTGGCAGCATCCACATTGTGATTTTGTGTATACAAATATTTGAACACAAAGTCAAAGTCAAAGTCTTAAGTATCTTGATATAATTATGTAGTTTATGTATAAGACAATGCATTTATTTACAGAGTAAAAATAGGTTTCATAAATGAAAAAGTCTGGGTGGATTTTCTGTGTATGCGCTGGAGGTGGCTCGGCTCGGCGACTGCAACCAGAATACATTTTCTGCTCCACAATAGATATTTTTTCTCATTTGCAGCCTTCGGCGGTTTATGAATAACGTGTAATGACTTCTTTCGCTTAGTTAGTTCCTTTCCGTTGAAATGAAAACAATACTTTACACAGAAGCTCACCAGAATATTTTGTGGAAGCTTATTTCTTGCCTAAAAATGTTTTAAATCATATTGTATGTTGAGCTCCGCATCTGCGAGTTGGTTTTTTCAATCTTGTAAGAATGGCGACGTTGTAGAGGTTCGTTTTTGTGGGAGATATCAGTAGTGGTCGGTTGGCGCAAAGTGTATTCAAATCTAGTTGAGCAGTAAGTGGTGGCCAGATATCGGGGATCCAATCTATGCGATGGGCCCCGCGCGGCCACCACCGCGTTACGTAAGCCGGCGGAGCGCGCCCGCGGGAACACTTGCCGCCTGCTGCCAGTACCACCGACATATTTACTTAAACACATTTTTCTTAAATAAATTCGAAATTATGTTTTCCTTCAATCAAAAATGGGCACCCATTTAACATTTTTTTAAATACAGTTATGTACGCCAAACATTGGCGTTCCATATCACCATTTTATTTTTCTGTCAGTGCCAATAAATATAGTAACAGCATCGAAGACGTCGATGAAAAATAGTTAGCACTTAGCAGCGACAGGACCTGGATATTTTTATTGACAATATTCACATATACAATCAATGGTCAAATCATCTCTTTGATAATGTTTATATTACATTGCAAAAAGTGTGTATTAGTCGTATCGCGAGAGCAAACACATTGATGTGTGATTCCCTCGCGCGGTGTCTGCCGCGGTCTGGTGTTACGTAAACCACAGTTTAGTTTCACGCTCGGCTCGCTCTACTTTGTTCAGTCTCACTTCCTTTGATTGCTCCTTAAATTGAACATTTAAATACCAAATGTAAATAATCTGATTAAACGTACAAAAGCCGCGCACGACGATATTTTGGTATTTAAGCTGAACGTTTAATTGTCTCAATTCCTCCGAGTCGGCCCGCGCCCGGCCCGGCCGCG